TTATTAAATACAGGCCGTGTCTCAATTCAGGCACTGCATCCTTCGGAGGACACAGTCTACACGGTCCACGAAGGATGCAGCCCACGTAGACCGGGTAGGCTGGACCGAGGTGGCCTACGAAATGAGACGGTCCAGCCTACGTAAATTATGTATAGCTGATGTAATTTAATCATATTATTTCATATTTAAAATAAGTTATAATTGTTCTGTACTAATAAAACTATGTTTTTTTTAAATGAACAAAAGCATGTTGTATAAATAGATTTTTAACAATATTACTTTTTTAATCTTATCTAGCTGTGGTTTATAACAGTTTATATTCTCCTTCTTCCCCTAAACCAGCCCAGATGATATCCTACCTACACCAGATCAGCAGCACCATGAACCCCTGCTCTGCTGAAATATACAATTAAACATTTTCTATGGCCTATGTTGTCACAGTCTGCTCCATCTTTCACCAGTAGTTTTCCATTCACCTGTCTCACCTGTTAACCACAACCACGTTTTTGCTCACTCTCTTTCTCTTCTGCACCCATTAGTCACACTGCCAGTATTTAAACCCTCACCCATTGCCGCGGGAAGTCATTTTGCTCAGGGGGTGCTGCCAAAAGTGGGGAGGTAGCCGCTTAAAAAAATAAAAAAAGGCGGTGCCGGGCCGGGCCCAGCTGTCAGCGATACGAGCCGCATACATTGTTTGTTAAAGGCGAGACACGGCAGGCAAAAACATCGTTTTTCATGCACTGGTCAATTTTGAGATGTTGTGCTATTTTGATTCCATAACATGTTTTCTTTCAGGCTTTTGGAAGGAAAACGTACAAAATACACATTTAAATGTTCATTTTACTATAGTTTGTCTATTTGCGTCTGTATATTTCTCCTAAATTCACCAAAAGTTAGCATTCTAATGTAACATAAAGTACCGCGATCGCTGTTTGCACAATGTCATCGTTGGAAAGCTCCGTCTCTCCTGCACAATCTCATCGGATCCAAATATGGTCATTTCCTTTGTATCAGCAACCAATCGTGAAAGTACAAAAGGGTCTTAAACCAAGAAACGAAATCTCATTGGCTGGTGTCAACTTCTGACAACGTGATTCGTTCAGATGCGTCACGTGATGTGCTAAAACACTTCCTGGTTAGCTTTCCGCTAGAAATTTAGATCTCCAAATGGCAAAAAAAAACGGCGAAAAAAACGTTCACAGAGAAGACAACAACAATTGTCACTTGCACGAAGCAAGGTTATACAAAAAACAAATGACCCCGAACATGAAATACCTTCACGGAGTGCGTCGAGGCGCAAGCTGTCATCCAAAGAACAGGAGGGTTTAGCTAGCGCCTCACTGCAATCTTTAAAGGTAGTTTTCTCAAAATGAGTTTTTTCTCCTACTCTGAGTTCGAAATGTCAACTTCAGTTGCGCTTACATACACCAAACCTTCCAGTTATATTCCTATCAATATTATGAAGGCTTTTACAGAAGGGTTTGTTCATATATCATTCATAGCCTGAATTATATAAGATGTTATACCTAGAAACATGGCGAAAATTGATATTTTAGGGCTGTTGACAGTATTTTCTGATTTATGGAGTGATAAAAAGAGATATCCAAAATCCCTTAAGTAAAAGCCTTAGATACTAATATGACTACAAAATGAAACGAGAATTTTGAACCTGGCTTTATCCAAAGTTCAAATTTCGGTTCCTGAAATGTGTTAAAATATGCGCAAATTTAATGAGATAATGGATCATTTGCATATTCAGAAAACTTATAATATAAGAAACAATTGCCTTATTGTAGGTAATTAACTGGATAAATTACCCTATTCACCTGGGGTGTCTCGCCTTAACTTTAATAAACCATTATAGACCTTAGCAACAGCTGCACATGCCCACATGCTAACTATGGGTCTTACAAACCTACATAACATAACAAATAGTCAGAAAATATTATTTACAATATTAATAAAACTATGAATTCAATTTTAACTGATTGACAAGGCAAAACACTGCACAGCGGCAGCAGCATTAAAGGAAACATCGTCTTACCTTGTGTTGGGGCTTCACAAAACTCCAAATGTAGCCTGGGGTGGCACTAATGAAGACCCTCATTAGAGCAGATACATCCACATTGTCCAAAATGTTACTATGGACATGCATTAAAGTCAGATGTGTCAGTCTCTTCTGTGTCATATTACTCTACTTGTAGAGGTGGTGGGCTGAGGAGTAGCTGGTGGTCCACTCTTTTTATTGCGTTGTTTGTTGGAGAACAAAATCCAAAATCCTTTTTTGCGCCATTCTAGAAAGTTGTCACTCTGCAGTGTGTGTGTCGCGTCAATTACGTCACTCTCCCAAGACCTACGACCTAGAATAGATGACTCGGATTTTATTTATTTGGAAAATAAATTCAAGCCACCTGATATATACAAATATATACTATGACTATTATATGCTACTGTATACAGCTAATTTTATTTTAAGTAAAATCATAACTATTTTATGTAGTTTAATCATTTTTATTTAGGTGGTCACTCAGTTTTTCAAATGTACACCACTCGCCAACAGGGGGTGCTGCAGCACCCCCAGCACCCCTACTTCCCGCGGCTATGCCCTCATCAGACACACACCCGTTGCCAGATCGTACTTTGCCTTCATGCTAGTCTTTCACGCGTTTGTTACCAGATTGCCTACCCGGTTCCGACCCTGCCTGTCCCCGACCTGCCTGCTCTGCCTGTTCCCTGATCCTGCCTGTCCTTGGACTATCCTGCCTTGCCTGCTGTCTGACCCTGCCTGTACCTACCTCGCCTGCTCCCTGACCCTCTGCCCGGCCCTGACTCACCTTCTGCCTGCTGTCCTCGGGTTTGCTTGCCTGCACGTCATCCGGCTGTTACTGTTCTGCTGGTATCCCTCTGCTCTGGTAATACCAATAAAGTATATTACCAATACTTTTTGGTTTCTCGAGTGCTGCATTTGGGTCCTTCATCAGATTGTGACAGAACGATCTGGCCATTGCAGTTTTTATTGACTCTGGTTCGGAAGCGAGTATTATGGACGAAGAGCTTATGCTGCAGTTGGGGATAGACCGGGTTCCCTTATCTCGCCCAGTTCCAGCCAGCACCTTAGATGGTCACCTGCTGGGGACAGTGACTCATCAGACTACCCATTCACATGCTCCTGTCCGGGAACCATCATGAAACTATTCAGTTTCCGGTCTCCACATATCCCGCTTATCCTGGGTTACCCATGGCTCCTCCGCCACAACCCTAACATTGACTGGGAGACGGGAGCCATTTTGGTGTGGAGCCCTTCTTGTCATTAGATCTGTCTGAAACAGGCTGCCGCGCCTCAGCGTTCGGTGAACCCCAGCCGAGTTCAGGATGTTACATATCTGGACTTCAAGGAAGTATTCAGCAAGACGAAGGCTACTTCCCTACCACCACACCGGCCTTACGACTGTGCCATTGACCTGCATCCCGGCACAAGCCCTCCCAGGGGTCGATTGTACTCCCTGTCTGCTCCGGAAAGGGTTGCCATGGAGACTTATATCAATAACTCTCTGGCGGCTGGGATTATTCGCACTTCCTCATCACCCGCTGGAGCGGGATTCTTCTTTGTGGAGAAGAAAGACAAGACCCCAAGGCCCTGTATCGACTTTCGGGGCCTTAATGACATTACTATAAAGAATCGATACCCACTGCCTCGTATCTCCTCTGCATTCGAGTTGCTGCAGGGAGCAACCATATTCATTAAGCTGGACTTGCGTAACGCAAACTACTTGGTACGTATTCACGAGGGGGATGAGTGGAAGACCACCTTCAACACCACCTCGGGGCACTACGAGTATCTGGTGATGCCTTTTGGACTTACCAACGCCCCTGCAGTATTCCAGGCGTTGGTAAATGACGTGCTCCGAGACATGTTGGACCGGCACGTATTTATTTACTTGGATGACATCCTGATCTTTTCCAAGACTCAGAAAGAACACGTGCATGTGCAGTTAAAATGGCTATCAGACACATGTCTGTGTGTATATAGAGCATATAGCTGCCAAAACTCAGCAGTCAGGACACAGTCAGCCTAGCTGAGCATGAACACTGGAAACAAGGGAACAGCCAGCATGGCTAAGCTCCAAAGAAAACATACCAACGCCCACACAACTACCCAGTTGTACCTTCTTTGATTCATCTGTAAACAAACTGAATTTTATGTATCATAATGTTTGGTTATATAGAGGTTACTGGGCTGATTATTTTATTCTAAAGCCAATAACATTATTTCCACATACAATAAAATCAGCAACTTTAATTCAAAGACCAAAAGTTCAGCAAACCAAATCAAACAGGAATATTTCATGATGAAAATGATGTTCATTTTGTTTGGATTAGATGACTTAGCTCAATACAGAGAAAACAGTGTGTTGATGTATGTGTGTTTGTGGATGAGTGTGTGTATGTGTGATCTCTATGAGCAGAACAGGATCCACAGGTCTTGTCTTCTGATGCCATCGGCAACAAAAAGAAGAATTGTGTTTTTTACAGTACAGCTGTTTTAGCCCTAAGAGAAGACTTTTGCAATTGGTTATGGGAAAGTGTTAGATATAATTAAGCCACTTCTGTCATTTGTTGCAGAGCAATAACTTTAGTAAGAGCTGGTTCAACGTTCTTAGATCGCAATGACACTGTGTGATGAGTAGGGGTCGACACAGGCTCAGTACTTTCCCGAAACTAAGCAAAGTGAGATTTTAAAGGGCTACATCTTAGTTATATCCAGCCATTTATTACAGCACAAACACACACATGGATACATTCATTTTAAATACCGAACTGTTGTATATGACTTATTGGTTTGCATTCCTAAATAAACACATAGATTTTCTGCTTTAAAAGGCTAATTTCTCCTAAAAGTGCATTTCTGAAACCCACCTGAAAGCAGTTGATCTAAATATAGTCTTTCCATCAACACTGCAGGACACAATGAAACATATTAAGGGGGGGGGACGACTCACCTTCCCCTCAGGCCTGGCATGGCGGTTGAACACATGTGCAGGGTCCTTGTGATACACCTTTAAACAGGAGTGGGATGTGATGTTCCTAGAAGCCAACAGAACACACACAGTGAAGTTTAATGTGAGTTAGAAGTCCTACAGAGTCACTAAATGGTCAGGACACAAAAATGTTATGAAGAATCAACATCCAAACGCTACTGGTGTGATCCCATCACAAGATGATGAGTAAGATGGCGCCGTGTGCAGACGCAGCGGCCCCTCGCGCTCCTGATTTTTAGTGTTTTTAATGTTTCCTCGTCATGTTTGTTGTCATGAGTAGACAGTACAGCTGTGAGTTCTTGCTGGACAAAAAAACAACAACGACCCACACTCTGGATGCTACGCTTGCAGAGGAACTTAGCGGCCTTGGACTACTCTGCCGACCTCGCCCTCGAGCGCTGCCTCCCAGCTGGAAAGGAGACGCCGCCGTGAGAGGAAGCGGAACAGGGGTCAGCACGGAGACATCCCACACAGGTCCGCTATTCTGAGCATGCTAATGGCTAATGTACGCACTATGGACAATACAATTGACAATATAAGACTTTTGAGGTTGACCCAGAGTGAGGTGAGGGAATGCTGTGTGTACGTTTTCACAGAAACATGGCTTAACGATAACATAATGGACTCTGCCATTCAGCTGGACGGGCTAACATGCTAGCAAGCGGACAGAGCTACGGAAGACTCGCGGCGGCGGTGTTATTGTTAACATCAGTGACGCTTGGAGCCGGGACGCTTTCTACCTCCTGAGGGAGTTTATAGCCATCCTGGTGGTAGCTGTTTACATCCCCTCCAGTTCCAGCAACAAGGACAGAGAGGCAGCCCTCTGTGAGCTGTACAGGGCCATCTCTGAGCAGCAGACAGCACACCCAGACGGCCTTCATGGGGACTTCAACCATGCTAACCTGAAAACGATAGTTACGGCTGTAACTACGGTTCTATGAGTCCCGGATGAGTATCCGGTGCTTTAGCACTGGATATGTCCATCACGCGCATGCGCAGCTCGAGTACCAATAACAACAAAGTCACCTGTGACCCACGTGACACCGGCTATATCAGCCGGTGTCGTCAGAGGATCTGTTCCCAGAATCTTCTCGCGAGCACACAAGAATTCTGAGTGACAGGATACTCTGGCGGTCATCCAGGACTCATAGAACCGTAGTTACAGCCGTAACTATCGTTCTATTTCGTCCCTACTGACCGCCAGAGGCGGTGCTTTAGCACTGGATGACCTATACCAACCATGTCATGAAGAATCCAAGCACTTACTCACCTAGCTGGAAGCAGCGGAGCTTGGCCACAGGACCACACCCAGAGGGTGAGGAGTGGCTACATTGACCCGGTAGAACCTGGAGAATGTGCCAGAAGACGACCATGACGCCGCGGCGCAGATGGTCTCCAGGGGCACCCCTCTTAGGGCAGCCCATGATGTTGAGATGCTTCTTGTAGAGTGGCATCTGGCCCCTGATGGCGGGGGGCGGCCACTGGCCCCATAGGCATATATGATGGTATCAACCACCCAGTGGGACAGCCGCTGTTTCGAGAGAGCACGACCCTTCCTAGTGCCGCCATGGCAAACGAAGAGCTACTCTGACTGCCGTATACAGGCCGTAGCATCAATATACGCCCTCAGGGCACGCACAGGGCACAGCAACTCAGGTGTGCCGCTCTCCTGTGGAATGTTAATGCGTGCCAGCTGGATAGGCCGATTGGAGTGGGCTAGTGGAAGCACCTTGGGCAGGAACGCCACATTCGGCCAGAGGGTGACACCCGAGCCATCGGAGTTCCACCTCAGGCATGTACTGCTTACGGAGAGGGCATGAAGCTCTCCGACTCGCTTCCCTGAGGTTATGGCAAGCAGAAATTCTGCCTTCAGGGACAGCCACTTAAGCCCGACCTGGGCCAGGGGCTCAAAGGGAGGAGATGATAGGGCATCCAGCACTAGGGGCAGGTCCCAAGCCGGGGCCCTTGGGGTGCTAGGGGGACGCTGCCGTAGAGCCCCTCTTAGAAAGAGGGACACCAACCTGTGGCGCCCCACTGTGGCGCCATCGACTCCGACATGTCGGGCAGAGATAGCAGCCATATACACCTTCAAAGTGGAGTGAGAACGTCCACTGTCCAGAAGGGACTGCAGGAACTCTAAAATGGTGGCCACGGAGCAATGTCCCGGATTCTCAGCCTTACTCACACACCAGTGGGAGAAGAGCTTCCATTTGCACTCATACTGTGCCCGAGTGGATGGAGCTCTGGCATTCAGGATAGTTTCCCTGACAGATGCCGTGACACCGCTCAACAGTGGGTTGGGCCCTGCAGAGGCCATACCCAGAGCTGAAGGCGGTGAGGGTCGGGATGCCAAATCTGACCCTTGAGCTGTGACAGAAGGTCCTTCCTGTCGGGGAGACGCCAAGGTGGGCTGCAGCAGAGACTGCGCAGCAGTGGGAACCAGACTCTCCCCGGCCAGCGGGGGGCGACCAGAAGGAGCCTGTGCCCCTGAGTAAGGACCCTCTGAAGCGTCTGCAGTATCAGAGGCAGCGGCGGGAAGGCATACAGGAGAGTGTCCGGCCAGTCGTGCGCCAGGGCATCCTGACCCAACGGGCTGGTCACCTCCGTCCAGGAGAACCAGAGGGGGCAGTGCCTCGACTCTTCCGAGGCAAAGAGGTTCACCTCGGCCCTGCCGAAAAGGCTCCAAATTGTCTCCACCACCTCTGGGTGAAGCCTCCACTCCCCCGGTGGAGGCTTGCGCCGTGAGAGGAAATCTGCGACCTGATTCAGGTCTCCTGGCAGAAAGACTGCCCGCAGACTGGCGAGGCGGGGGAGCGCCCAAGGCAAGAGGCTCTGTGAAACGCGGAGCAGTTGTGCGGACCTGGTGCCCCCCTGGTGGTTGATTTGGGCAACGGCGGACATGTTGTCCGAACGAACGAGCACATGCCTGCCCGCCAGTTGGGGTAAAAAGTGCATGAGTGCGAGCAACACCGCCTGAAGCTCTAGTACATTGATATGGCGTGCACCTTCCTGGGCAGACCACTGACCCTGCACAGTCCTGCCATGCCACACCACACCCCACCCTGAGAGACACGCATCCACAGTGACAGTCTCCCGGCGGGATGGGATGGCGCCCATGGGCACACCCATCAGAATATAGGCCCTGTCCCTCCAGCGGGACAGAGAGTGGAGGCACCGCTGAGACACCCTGACTCTCTTGTGCCTGTGCCGCTTGGCGTCCAAGTGAAAGTTGTTCAGCCACATCTGCATGGGGCGCCAGGGCCGTACGAATAATGGCCGCCATGGAGTCATCCTCCACGCCCTGCAGAGACCCCTGAGCAGAGGAGAGGGAAGCCTCCTCGAGCGGGACCTCGTCCTCCGTCTCTTCATTGAAGAGGTTAGCCGAAGCCGCTAGCGACAAGGCATCCTCATACAGAGGTGCGTCAACCGAAGGAGGGGCGGCAACCGAAGGAGGGGCAGGCGGCACTAGCAGCCCCTATACCGGGCCCTGGCTGAAGGGCCAAGAGGAGCGACTTCATCGTGTCCATGTCGGTAGCTCGCTGATCCACTTTAGAGGACAGCCTGTTTCTAGTCCTCCTATTGGGGGGTGCACCCATGGCCATCGCTCCCTCAAGTTGCCGGGGATGGCCGAACTGATCTGGAGGAGGATGTGACCAGGAGAGGTGTCCGTTGGCTGCCGCCAGACGTTCCACCTCAGTGATTCTAGCCACTCTGAGTGCCCGGGGCATGTAGCTACAGTTCATGCAGGCACCTACCGTGAGAGCCTCCCTTAGATGCTCGAGGCCGAGGCAAGAGGGGCAGCGGTCGTGGCCGTCCTCGGGCTCAAGAGAAGCCATACAGGCGCTACATGAATGAGCCATTCTGTAGGTAGCCAGATGCAGAGTAGCCGGGAGCGAGTGCGGGAACACAGCCTTCACCCGCTACCTGCTTAACGGAAAGAGTAGAGCCGCGCCGCTACTCGCCAAACCAAAAGAGGGATGTAATTACACCCACGTTACCGGCAGAGGGAGCGGGAGCGAGAGCACTGCCTTCACCTAGCTGGATTAATAACTAAGGCAGTTTACCAGGAGCGGGGGCGAGAACACTGCCTTCACTGGTTGAGCTAGAGGCGAGTGCCAGATGCAGCGTAACCGGGTGCGGGTGCGGGAACACAGCCTTCACCAGCTACCTGCTTAACGGAACCCAGGCAGTTTAGCGTCTACCAGGAGCGGGGGCGAGAACACTGCCTTCACTGGTTAAATTAAGACGAATGCCAGATGCAGCGTAACCGGGAGCGGGTGCGGGAATACAGTCTTCACCAGCTACCTGTTTAACGGAAAAAACAAGGCAGTTTAGCGTCTACCAGGAGCGGGGGCGAGAACACTGCCTTCACTGGTTAAATTAAAGACGAATGCCAGACGCAGCGTAACCGGGAGCGGGTGCGGGAACACAGCCTTCACCAGCTACCTGCTTAACGGAATAAACAAGGCAGTTTAGCGTCTACCAGGAGCGGGGGCGAGAACACTGCCTTCACTGGTTAAATTAAAGACGAATGCCAGATGCAGCGTAACCGGGAGCGGGTGCGGGAACACAGCCTTCACCAGCTACCTGCTGAACGGGAAGAGTAGAGCGGTGCTGCTACTCGCCGAACAGAAAAAGGCATGTAGCTACACCCACGTTGCCGGCAGAGGGAGCGGGAGCGAGAGCACTGCCTTCACCTAGCTGGGTAACTTCTAAAGAAAAAACAGCACAGGAAACTCCGGTGCTTAACCCGGCGTCAGCCGAGTGGCTGCAGCCGCTACTGCTAACTAGCCAAACAAGAAACACAGCTCAATGCTAATGAATTTTGGCACAACGCCGCGGCCAGAACAAGTACAGCAAGGGCAACTCCTGGGAGAGGGAGCGGAAATACCTCCGTCACCAAAAAAGTTCAAGCCCAAAAGCAAACAGACAGTAATCAGGACAACTAGGCTGGGAGAGGGAGCGGAGACACTGCCATCACCAACCAAGCCGACACCAACCTGTCCGAACGAAGTCTCTGCGCAGCCAGCCACAGCTTCTGGAGGA